AGTAACAATCCTTAACAAACTTGGAGTGGTAATGGTGCAAGAATGAATAACAGTGATTTGTATCAATACAGACAAAAATACAAGGTGATATGAATAACTCTTGAACATGTGATGCATTGCATGGATACAAGAAGATGAATAAATATCCAGATATGAGTTATTGCACATCGCTGGTGGTGATGGTGAGTTTCTCTGTCCTTGAAGTACCAGTCCTCTTCAGTGTGAGGATATCAGGTGACTTCTGTGCAGTAGGCAATTTATCTTACAATTAGAACAGCAGACATCCAGAAACGATGACAAGAGACAAAAGGAAGTGATGTTATGTATATCAGAAGTGATATCTTTGTATGAATATTAGTTTGGAGTCTTACTCATTTTCTTGACCACATGGACATACATAGTTTATGCACAGACTTTTTTTGGTTTCAATGGTGTGCTATGTCCTATTGATCTTTCTGAAATAATTTGTCAAATTATTGAAACATATATTTGCATATTTTTCCTTATCCTGACTCATGCTCTTTTGCTTGTCTTCTTCTTCTTGCGAACATAGTGGAAACACTTGTATCTCCTTAATTGAAGCTCCCTTCAATGTAAAATCACTAATTAGTACTCACCATGAGTTGCTCCCCTTTAATCCCTTTTGGCGGGAAAGGTGTCGCCACCTTACACCTCGTGCTTCACTCTCTCCTTCTTCGCCCAGTGAGCAGGATGCGAGAGCGCCTGTGTCTCCTTACACAACATATCCTTTGATTTTTCTTAGTTTATTACTTCTTATAGTGTACTATAGAGGTATAGCTAGTATCCTTCAGTAATTTGTATTGATTATTTATCGTATTTCTACTGTTTATTCACGCGTATTCGTGATTGTTCAGCTAGTATTACGTTGATGAAAATCTGTACTATTTGTAGATTACGTTTTTCTGCCTCAGATCCGCATGTAATATGCCCTAGTTGTTCTACGCCGTGTGCGTTTGATTCACGTTGCAGTTATTGCATTGATTTATCTAATTCTGCATTTAATAAATACTATCTTTGCGTCTTAAGACGTGCTGCAGATAGGTCACGCAAACAAGGGCTAAATATGGCTGATACTCCAGATACTCCATCTAGTCAGCTGCTGGCGATCGACCCCCTACCGTCTGGTGTTCTGCTAGAGACCCCATCGGAAGAGGCGTGGGGACGCAGTCCGTCACCTCTAAGAAGCGACCGGCCTCCCCAGACATCCCGTCATCGCAGCTAAAGTCCAAGAGGGCCTCGACGTCTTCTCAACGCAGACTTCGTACCCCCAGGGCAGCGTCGACATCCAAAGGAAAGTCTACGAAGACAGCGAGAACTTTCTCAGCCGAGATCGTTCCAGCCGAAGAAATGGGCCTCTACGATGACCAGCCGATTATCATCCCCGACATACGGCACAAGAAGCGGCCGGTGTCAGCGACAGTGACTTCAGCAGAGATCTTCATGCAGCCTGATGCCTCTACACTGATGTCAGACGTTATTGCTGTGGACCCCATCATTAACTCCGCAGAGAAGGCTCAGACAACATCGTCGCAGACCATCCCTGATGACCTGATGCAGCAAATTATGACGATGATGGAAGACCGATATAGACTGCAGAAGCAAGGACCGAGCCTTCGCGAAGGCTCCAACGTAGACAGCACCCCAGAGGCACCCCCCGTCAACGTAGCAGCCAAGACGATGTCACCTTCGCGAAGGAAGGCACGGACCACCTTCACGAAGGACCTAGATGTACAGCCTTCGCGAAGGCCTTCGCTAAGGCGGGATAGATCATCACCCTCGTCACCTTCATCCCAAGATGTGGACTCGGACCATCAGACATCACGAAAGCCTTCGCGAAGGTCTTATCGTAATTCCCCCGGACCGGACGCAGAGGAAGCTTCGCGAAGGCATTCGCGAAGGGCAGCTGAATCCAGATCTTCATCATCTAGAAGGACATCGAGGGACTACACAAGAGCTTCGCGAAGCTATCAACGTTCTCCTCACAGGTCACCGAGAAGATCAACCAATAGACGTAGATCACCTAGACGATCTCCTCCTCGTTCATCACCACGTAGATCACCTTACAGGTCACCATACAGAGCTGCACAAGCATCGCCGGACGTAGAGACAGAAGCACGCAGTCCAGAACAGCACCAACCTCTCATCAATGATGATGGTATAGAGGATGATGGAGGAGTTATTTTCTCCGATGCTGAGATACGGTATTGGATGGTCAATAACCTAGATCTCTCATCACCATCTAAAAATGGCAATGTGACGCAGACATATCTGATGAAAGAAGACGATGCAGATGCTATCACACTACCACCGACGTAACCCGATTGCAGCAGTTCCACAGAATCTAGATGCAGCATTCCACAAAGCCACGAAAGTTCAGACACCACATATACCTAACTTTCATGCCAAGAAGTTCTCCACGATAACATGGACCCCTTCTTCAAAGCTCAAGACATCGATGAGAACTATAAGTTGATCAACGATGTCAAGTACAAGAATTACAAGATTGATGATCGCAAGTTAGTCCAGATAGAAACCATGACGAGACGTATGTTTTTTGGTTTAAATAGATCTAGAACGATCAATGAGACTCTTATCACCAGATTTCGTGGATACCGACTTCTGAGGATGATAGAATGATTTATTCTGCCTTACTTATGCAAAAGAAAGACCAGCAGTTCCTAACAGATCATCTTACATCTATTTCAGCAGCACTGACCTTAGCTCGTCGTCAAGGCCTCCTCGCTTCCTGCAACTGGGGTGAGAACTTTACAGCCCCACTGTATACAGCCCTGTGGTCTTCAACATCCATCTTTAATGGAGAAATAGACAAAGTTTCCAAGGAAGTCACTAAGGATTCCAGAGAAGTCCTGATGATTAAATCGATGGACACACTAGCCAGCGTCATCCGACAGACCTCTCAAAGATACTCAGGAAGATCTAAATTCACGGGCCTACAGAGAGCACGAGACAGGAAGATAACCAGCTCTAGAGGAAAGATTCTTTTCGTCAGCCCATTCGCAACTATAGAGGAGGATCAGGAAGAGGCAGGACACCCAGAGGTTCCCGCAACTATAAACGCTGAAAGACAGGTTCGAACGACTGGAGTCTTCCACCCCAGCCGTTCCAGTACAACCATCTCAAGTGGGTGGACGCCTCCAACTTTACTGGGAAAACTGGGGAATGTTACAAGACCCTTATGTCTCCAACATTCTTCGTCACGGATTTCGTATCCCACTAAAGGCCAAGCCTCCGCTGACAGTCAACCCTCACAAGTTCGACGTACAGGCACAACAACTACCGAAGTTAAGAGAGGCTGTTACATCACTCTTAATAAAGCAGGCCATAGAAGTACTAGACCAAGACAACATAGAACCAGGTTTCTACTCCCCAGTTTTCCTAGTTCCCAAGAAAAACTCCAAGGAGAAATACAGACTCATCTACAACATGAGCTTTTTCAACAAGAACTATCTACGCAAACCCCCGAAGTTCCGCATGATACATTTACCTCAGTTACGGCAGTTGATTCGCCCCATGGACTACATGGGCAGTATCGATCTACAGGACGCTTACCTGCACATCCCGATACACTCCAAAGCCAGGAAATACCTACGGTTTACTTTAGACGGGCAACATTACCAGTGGAAAGTGCTCCCATTCGGAATATCATCAGCCCCCTGGCTTTTCACGAGGATAACGAAACCGATTATCACCTATCTTCATCATCAAGGGCTACGCAGTGCGTTTTACCTCAACGACGGGATACAAGTAGATCAAGATCCACAGCATCTCAAACTACAGTTAAATTACATCATAAAGCTACTAACACAGCTAGGATGGTTAGTAAACTTACTCAAGTCGGACCTAGTACCGTCACAAGACCTACAGTTCCTAGGCATTCGATTTATCACAAATCTCAACCGTATCGTCGTACCAGAAGACCGTTGGATCAAGATCCAACAGACCATTCCACCAGCTCTACGCTCTCCGTTACCACTTCGACAATGGCAGAGCCTCCTAGGTCTCCTCACATCAGCCCAAGACATGACAGTCAGAGGCAGGTTACAGTTACGTCCCTTACAGGTCTTCATCAATGCACATCTCGACGATTTACAGCCATTCAGTCTACCGAAACATCTCAGACCTCATCTACTATGGTGGACAAAGAAATCGAATGTCTGCGAAGGGATTTGTTTAGCAGAGCAGGAATTCAAAACCCATCTATATGTTGATGCGTCACTTCAAGGTTGGGGAGCTCATCTCGCCAACCAGACGACATCGGGATTATGGAACCAACAAGAAAGCAAACTCCATATAAACATCCTAGAGATGAAAGCTGTAATCAACGCCATTCTACATTGGAGCACATTTCTACAAAATGCGCACCTTATGATTCATACCGACAATTCCACAGTGGCGTTCTAACGTAAACAAGCAAGGCTCAACGAGATCACTGAACCTTTTGAACTTAAGCTTTCAACTATTCGATCTAACCCACGATCTAAATCTACAGATCAGAGCAGTTCACATTCCCGGAGCCAAAAATGTACTAGCAGACGCGCTCTCTCGGCCTCATCTACCATCACCGACAGAGTGGATGCTCAATACGGAAATATTTGCACTAAGTACGGACGCTCTAAGTATATCATGGGAAGGCCTCAACGCGTACGCGTTTCCGCCGCCAGCAATAATACCTCAAGTATTACAGAAAATCAAACAAACACAGAATCTACAACTCACTTTGGTCGCGCCCTACTGGCCAGCCAGAGTATGGTTTCCCATGCTAATTCAAAGAATCGGTCAACCAGTATTAGAGCTACCCAAGCGCTCAAACCTGTTAATACATCCACACACAAAACAAGTGCACGGAAACCCAGAAGTTTACCAACTTCACGTATGGACTGTATACAAATGTGTTTAAACAAGAGAGGATATTCTGCCAGGGCGGCAAAAGCGGTCACGCTTGCCTTACGACACTCGACTCGTAACTTGTACGACGACAAGTGGCACAGTTTCGAAAATTATGCAGCTAATAAAGGATTTACAGCGAGAGATGCTTCACATCCTCAAGTGGCAGACTATTTGTGTTACCTGCGGCAAAACAAACATTTAAGAGGTTCGACGATATCAACATATCTTGCTGCGCTTAGCTCTGTGATCACTATGAGAACGGGTGTCAAGCTGACAAAATCTCCAGAGTTACTGGCCTTACTACGTGCTTTCCGATTGGAGGACCAAAAGCGGAAGTTCCACGCCCCAGCTTGGGATCTGAATGTAGTGTTACAACACCTCACTAGTGAGGCCTATGAACCTTTGGAATCGACAAACTTTGAATTTCTCTCACAGAAAACACTATTTCTGCTATCTCTAGCCACGGCAGCAAGAATATCTGAAATTCACGCTCTGGATTACGAGAGGATACAGTTTGATGACAATCAAAACATAGCGCACCTGGGATTAAGATGGGATTTCATCGCAAAAAATCAACTACCAGGTCAACCAGACAGGTTATTCCATGTACCAGCTTATCTTCGATTCTCGGATCACAAGATACACAAGACTTATCACTGTGTCCAGTCAGAGCTCTCAAAGTTTACTTACGACGATCCAAAAACAAGGCTTAAGATTTCTCAAAAGATTATTCGTCCCCTTATCGCCAACTTAATCAAACAGAAGTCTCGCAGTACTACCATATCTATTTGGATAAGGACTGTCATACTTGCTACTACAAGGCAGCAGGCTTGAACCCACCAACAGCATCAAAACCAAGATGAGATTAGGGCACTGGCTTCCACCCCGCCCTGCACGGTAACTGTTCATTGAACACAATTATGGAAGGATGCTTTTGGAAATCGAACATGGTGTTTGCGAATCACTACCTGAGAGACATCACCACAGAAGATGTCTCTGGCATTCACCATTTCGCCCTTTGGTCCTCGGCTCAACAGCTGACAGTCCCTCGTGAGAGGCGTTAAAATATTACCATCACAAGTTTAATATGTATTATATACATAATTTAGCTAGCTTATAACTCTAAGGAGTTCTAGAGCTATGTATATATATTTAGCTTAGGTCATTCACCCCTAAGTATATATGGATATTATCTTTAGTTGTACAGCGACTCTATCAGAGTCACTTATATATATATATAATATATGTAATGGTTTTTCAATATATATCAATGTAATACCCAATTATGGCATTATATAACCTATGGTTTATATACAGGAAATATCCTAAGTCAATGCCTTCATGAAGTTCCCATACCAGTTATTACAGTTATATTTATACAAAATCACTAATTATAAATCCAAAGTATTCTATTACTCCCTCCTCCGTTCCGTAGGATTCTACAAGCAAAAGAGCATGAGTCAGGATAAGGAAAAATATGTAATTTTTAGAGTAAAATTGATATTTTATACTTATCCTGACTCATGAGGTCAGCCCTCCCATCCTCCCCACATAACACTTTGGATTTCCCTGTAAATTCAAGTGTTGGGCTCGCAAAATCAGGAGAGAGTGAAGCACGAGGTGTAAGGTGGCGACACCTTTCCCGCCAAAAGGGATTAAAGGGGAGCAACTCGTGGTGAGTACTAATTAGTGATTTTACATTGAAGGGAGCTTCAATTAAGGAGATACAAGTGTTTCCACTATGTTCGCAAGAAGAAGAAGACAAGCAAAAGAGCATGAGTCAGGTTAAGTATAAAATATCAATTTTACTCTAAAAATTACATATTTTTATATTTTTGTTTACTCTTCTATTGGACCTCAACAATCAACTAATTGGCAATATTTTTGGAAGATTCTTATAATCAATATTCCAGCTGTGTGTTACACAGAAAGACAACATATTTTGATTTTCATTGATGTAGATTGTTATCTTGTGGAGATGAATAAGGATCGGTATTTTACTTTACAGCAACTGGTTGGGAAATTGACAGCTGCAGAGTCTAAGGTGACCTCCATGGAAACTGAGGTGAGTGATTGCAAGAATCAATGGCTGTATGCATATGTGGGGCATAAGTTCTAGTCCAAGCGTAAGTAAAATGTGGGCCTGGGTGTAACGTTAAACCAGTATGCAAACGTAGCTGTCTAAATCATAATGGTGGCAGTCGTATACCGATATCGCAAACGACAGTTCTACAGAAACCGTATATTTAGAGAATGGTCAAATGCTTTAGAAATATACAACAACCTATATCTGTACGGAAGATTTAGATTGAGGACAATTGACATTTTCAAGATAGTGAATACAATCAGAGGTGATAATGACTATGGCGTGTACCGCAATTCTACCCTTACCCCGGAAATGTTTTTATGCTACAGGATCATTTCAAAATGTAGTTGGCGATTCTGTCAATCTATGGTTAGTTGAACAATTTGCAGAGTTTTGTTGTCCCTTCAGTGACTGATGAATCAGTGGATCTATTTTCCCGACCAAAACTAACTCGTAGTACTGAAAGACAGTTTTTACAACGTGGCAGGGTTTCCAGGTTTAGTAAGATGTGTCGACGGAACACATGTTACGATCCAGGCTCCAAAAGAACAAGAACATAACTGTGTCTACAGAAAAGGGTACCACAGGGTATGGTGTTCAAGGTGTATGTGATGCAAGTCTTTTCGATTTTTCAATTTAAAAAAAATTGGTACAGAAATGGTTTTGTGTTTATTTCGTTTACAATAGTTATGTAAGCAATATATAAAAAGTCCTCCCATGGATATTGATGCTAAGTGGCTTTTGGGGGGCAAAAAATATTAAAAATGGTATTTTTCAATTATTATTTTTTCATCTGAAAATAAGTCCAGAAAATGGTATAAAAACTTGCAAAACATACAGCTGAGTGAGTGAGTTTAGTTTTACGCCGCACTCAGCAATATTCCAGCTTTATGGCGGCGGTCTGTAAATAATAAAGTCTGGACCAGACAATCCAGTGATCAACAGCATGAGCATCGGTCTGCGCAAATGGGATACGATGACAACCAAGTCAGCGAGCCTGACTACCCGATCCCATTAGTCGCCTCTTACGACAAGCATGGGTTACTGAAGATCAATTCTAAACTGGATCTTCACGTTTGCTGGGCTACTTGATCAAAGCTCTAGAAAGGTTTTGAAAGCACAAACAGTATTGTCCTTTTTACTGCTAGTAAAAAATGTAATAATATTGGTAGTTTTGAAACTGAAATATAACTAATGGACAAATACTTAAAGTATTTCAAATACTTAAATAGTAGGTGGTGCATGCTTGTTTATCAACCATCTTTAAATTTTGCTCAGGAAATGAAAAGATCTCTGACTGACACAGGGATGACCATATATCCCATGGTATTACATGTCGTTGGGGGTAACTGTCATGAAATCATGTACAACTCAATGTACCGGTAAGTGGAAAACTATTGGAAGCACCATTCAATCAAATGACCTCAACCAACCACATCTCAAATATTCAAGTTAGCCTGAAAACAACCCTTCAAGTTATTGGATTTCCTTTACTCAGAATATCTTCTGTTACTGTTAAGGTTTGCTTGGAATAGCATTGTCACCAAGCACGATACTCAAAATTAACTCAAATATACAGACTATGAAACCAAGGGCATCTCTGTCAAGCCCTTGGTGTTCAGGGTCACCATCACTATAGTTTAAGCCAACCGATATCTTAATTAATATCTTGTTCATTATCACAATCTCTAGTTACAGAAGAAGGAACTAAGTGCAACGCTTCCGAAAATGGGTGTACACATGGTCAGTTCATTCAGTTTGCAACAGATAATGTAGATCAATCTGAGAACATGGATTAACGCATACCGATGATGTTTTTGCCAATTAGGTGACTGTTTGCCAAGACTGCTGAGCTGTTGATGCGCTAAAAGGGATGGGTTCATATGTCCTGGGTTCATATGTTATGGAAATGCTGAATCAAATTGCTTGATGTCTTGAACAATTCATGTAGAATATAAAATGAATCACTAGATCAACATCATGAGCATCGATATACGCAATTGGGATACAATGACATGTGTCAACCAAGTCAGCGAGCCTGACCACCCGATCCGGTAATTTCCCTCTTACAACAAGCATGGGCTACTGAAGATCAATTCTAGTCCAGGCTAGCTATTCTCGAAACGTTCATATCCCTACGAACTTCTTAAGCCCATTCTTAACACATTGGCTACGATCAAACTTAAGAATTCTTAGAGCTACGAACATTTCGAGAATAAGGGCCCTGATCTTCAAGGGTTTTGGACATAAAGTAAAGTAAAATGTTAAAATAAAATCTGCCCGCCCGACCCATATTGTTTTTGAAAAGTGATGAGAAAGAAAAATATTTTTTTATGTGGCCTAAGGGAGAGTCAAATGTTTGTTGATTTTGGAAACAGACAAATAGACGGGATCGTTCTCGGGGACAGTGCCTACCCTCTTCGCACCTGGCTGATGACACCTGTCAGGAATCCCAGATCAAGACAGGAGGAACGTTATAACTATGTATAACTGTATTGAGAGATGCTTTGGCGCAATCAAGCGCCGGTTCCATTGCATTCACTCGGAGTTGCTCGGATACCTGCCAAAAAGAAGTGCAGTGTGTATGCTACACAACATAGCTATTGAGTTCGGGACGCCACTCGAAGATGACTATGAGGGCGATAACGATGGTGACAATGACATTCACAATGTAGCCAAACCCCACAATGCCAAGTAACAAAGATACAGGATAATTCAGAGATTCTTTGGACAGTAACTCAGCAAACTCAGCGTCCATTCCATCAAAGTTTTCAAACAACAACAGAGATATACATTCTGAGTGTTCAATGTTATATTTTCAAAACAATTCCTACGGCTGAAACAGATGTGCGAAGTCGCACCTTTCCCTGGTGGTTTTAAAACATTTGAAAATCTAAAAATAGCACACTACGCCTCGATGTAAATCGGTTAAGTCGGGCCTAATAAGGCCGAGGCTTAACCGACGTTATGCAGGACTTGTAGGAGCATGGCGCGCTAAGCCCGACATAGTGTGTTACGCCTGACGTTACTTTCACCCGACATGTGCATACGGGCACAGGACTGTAAGTAAGAATGGAAGAGAAAAGGGACATTTTATGTATCACATGCATAAGTTTTGTTTTTATTAATACTATAGAGGGACTGGAATAAGATTCTTGTTAGAAGTAATGTTTTGTGAAGAATGGTGGCCATTATCATTGATTTTGATGGCAAGGTCAATGCTACTGTAAGTATTTCAGTTTCTTCAGGTTTTTACATCAATGAGATAAAGTTATGATTCAAAACAAATTCCACAGTTTGATATTATTTTCTTTTGTTTTGTTCTTTTTATGATTTCCTTTTTTTTTCAGTTAACTGCTGCAAACACCTCCCTGTTGGAGAGAACCAATCAACTGAAACAGATCCGTCATGATTTGAACAGTCTGCAGACACTGCAAGATAACTTTGACCAGAACTACAAGCTAGAAAAGGTATGTTTGAGATTGTAAAATATCACCTGGTGACTGTTCACAGAATGATAGACTTGACAGGGAGTTGCTAAAACTGTACATATCTAAACTTAATACTCCTCACATATTGTGTTCCTTTTATGTGTTCTCAATGCTGAATAGAAACAAAATTTTGGTCATGTACCCTTCATGTTTCCAGCAATATAATATCTCACACAAACACAAGCCGTTCATGATGGAGCCTTCCACAAGTTCATGGAACGGGTCATTATCTTGACTCGCATAACTGAGTGAAGATTTATGGTTTTAGAGAAATACTTATTAAAATCTTCTTGTGTATTCATGGTGCGTGAATTCACAACTGTCTTGGTTTCCTATTTCAGGTGGTTTCTTTTTATGCCCCCACCATATATGGCTGGGGCATATAGGGTTACCCTCGGTGTTCGTCCGTACAAAACAGGGAATGTATTCTGTCCACTTCTCCACCATAACCGCTCTGTGGAATTCAATGAACTTATACATGGGCTTTCTTGGGACTCTAATGGTGTGCATCTCATATTTTTGTTTTTGTATTTTATTGTTTTTTTGCAAGTTTAGAGACATTTAAACTTAGGTACATTTTGCTGAATTTCTCTATGATGAAAGTGTAATAGGGGATGAAGTCTATCCACTTCTCCACAAAAACTGCTCAGCAGAATTGAATGAACTTCTACATGTCTTTTGTAGGGACTCTAAAGGTGTGCATTTCATAATTTTTTATGCAATTTCTTAATTTTGTCACTTTTACAGATGTTTGAACTTAGTTGAATTTTGTTCTATTCAGCCAGTGTTTGTTCCATCCAACAGGGGGTGTACGTTATCCACTTCTCCTCAAAAACTACTTTAATTCATTTAGATTACACATGTGCTTTATATGGACTCTAAAGGTGTGCATCTCATATTTTGATTTTGTATTTTATTTATTTTTCCAATTTTAATGCCGTTTGAACATAGATAAATTTTGTTGAATTTCTCTCTGAATATAGTGTTGTAGGGGGTGAAGTCTATCCACTTCTCCACAAAAGCTGCTCAACAGAATTGATTGAGCTTCTACGTGTGTTTCATTGGAACTCTAAAAGTGTGCATCTCATACCTTGTTCATCCAATTTCTTAATTTTGTCACTTCTACAGATGTTTGAACTTAGTTGAATTTGGTTCTATTCATCCTGTTCGTCCCATACAACAGGGGGTGTACTTTATCCACTTCTCCTAAAAAAACACTGCACAAAACTCATTTAGCTTACATATGTCTTTTACAGAGACTCTAAAGGTGTGCATCTCATATTTTGTTTTTGTATTTTATAGTTTTTTTTGTATGTTTAGAGACATTTGAACTTAGACAAATTTTGTTGAATTTCTCTCTGATGATAGTGAAATAGGGGATTAAGTCTATCCACTTCTCCACAAAAACTGCTCAACAGAATTGATTAAGCTTATACATGTGTTTCAATGGGACTCGAAAGGTGTGTACTCAGTGTAGGGAACTCTTCCTACAGCAGCGGGGTCATCCGTGTCCCTGGACACAATTTTTTCTTGTTGTAATATGCAGTTGTAAGAGAAAGGTTGGCAAGTGCAAGGGCGCTTTTTCAGTCTCTGGCTGTGAGGTTACTACTGCCTTGGCTCAGGTTGGCTCAGACCCTGTTGATTCACACAGATTCATTGTGGTGAGAAAGACAGCCTTTCCAACAATACTTTGGATTGGTGTCATTTCCAAACTGGAACTCACCATGTACCCATGAAGGAAGACGAAAACTGCATTTGTGTGTGAGAAGGGACTTTGCTACTTCAGCATGATGCCAGTTGTTTGAAGGAGAGCACCGCAAACATTCCAGGGAATCATTTTGAACCTTATTGATAGTTTGAACTGGGAGGTTCGTATATCTCTTATCATCTAATGGAGTGTGTTTATTATAACGTAAACATTCCCTCTGGATTATGGTAGCCTTTATTCCTGTGGTTACACAGACACATACAGAAAATCAATGAAATTTAAAAACACTAAGTCTTAGCTATTCCTAGTGGTATGCCTATCTAACCCCCGAGATACCTCCCTTGATCCCGATGTCACTGTTTTGTTGATCTAACACCCTTCATAATTTTTCTGTATGGTCAACACACAAGACGTGTAGAGAAGTCAGTGAAATTCTTTTGTTATTCACGTCTTCAATTCTTCCTCATAATAGGTCAGTCACATCACATTCCATATTAAGTACAATTCGCATTCCTTTTCAATTGTTATTATTGTAAATTTCTGATTTCTTGGACTTTGGAATTTTCCCAGCCTTTTTCAAGTCCAACGATGTCGCAAAACAAATGTCTCCAATGTCAAATATTTATGGCGGACATCAATGTCCACTCCCTTTGTGCTTCTTGTTTCAAAGGATTTCCTTGCTCCATTTAGGAAAGATGTTTATTATGTCAGGAAATGTCAGAAGAATGTTGGGTTATCGTGGATAAATCCCGTTCTATGCCTAGAAAATGAAAAAACTCCTCATCCTCGGAATCCTCTAAAACCAAGAAACCAAATCCGGGATCCCCAACCTTGTCGATCAAATCTGAGCCAATATCCAAATCTAGGACAAAATCTAAATCATCTGGCCATTTAGATATGTCAGCTATTTCGGAGTTACTAGCAAGGTTTAAGTCCAACAATCAGGCCGCCATGGATAAGTCCATGCAAGACATGGAGATCAGGAACGAGGTCAAGTTTAGTAGGATATCAAAACAATTGGAGGAGTCTAATATTCCCGGCAAGATGGCAGAAATTAGCTACAATACAATGACTTTGTGGTCGATGGTAAGAGCCGGGAGCCAAAGTCGTTTCCTGTGGAAATCAGGGGTGCTATGTCCGGGATAGCCCGTTATCATGCCCTGATGTACGCAAGAGGCCGGTCCCTTCATGGGGAGAAGCCTAGGGCTTCATGTGACAGGGATGGTGTCAGCTTAGCTGGCACCCGGGTCTGGGCTGACCGTGGCTCAAGCTACACACTCGGTGTCCCTTGTTGCCGGGAATCAGCCATCCGTGGCGGCTCCCTGTCGCTCACAGCCTGCTATCTTTTCCCACAGGTGGACTGAGCTGCAGGTTTTCCATGGGCTTGATTCCATGCAGGCCGCATGGAATTCCCCTACTGGCTTGAGCCATGCCACAGGGTCAACGGCTATTGACATCAGTGTCTCAGCCCAGCAACCCGATAATCACAGACCTAGCGGTTCAGAGGATACGCCCACGGAACAACAGGCGTACATAGACACGGACAATCCGCTCGTTATCCCGTTAGTACCTGACTTAACTAATCCGGACGTTTCACCAGTGTACCCCTTTTCTCAGCTGGAGTTTGTTATGAGAGAGGGTTTACTGACAGTTCACCCTGTGGATGTTTCCGGGGAAGACTGCACACTAGGCTGATCATTTAAGGAAAAGATGGAACATTTACACAGACTATATCCCAATACCCTTCCACCGCCGTCCGATGAACAGGAAATTGACATACCAGTGGAGTTGGGCTTGTCAGGATGTTTACCACTGGAACGGATGCCCAAGCTGTCTTTGCCTCATGCTTCGTCATTTAAGAGAGTGTTGGCGAATTATAACTTGGGCCTCTCCAAGGCTACAACTTTGAATAATCTGCCTAAGGTTAATCATAAGCCAGTCTATGCCATTCACGAGCAACTTATCCCAGCCAGTCAACCTAACTTAGACAAGGACTTTGGCCACTTACAGGATGTCAAGGGTTTCCGTGAACAGTGACACCATTTTTTCATTAGGGATTTTAAGGAACTTGACATGGCTGCTCTGACTTCCATTGATGTGTTATCGTATTCTAACTGGTTTGGTTCGCCGCAGGAGTACAGGCCTTGCTTCCTCCAGTTTTCCAGGATTATTCGGGGATTAAAATGGACACACTAGTCTCTATGTCAGCTCAAGAGGTGGCATTGACGCATTCCTTCCTCGATGTGGTTTATTAATCTCTAGCGGACGCTATGGCCAATCAAGTGAATATACTGGGTCACCTTACTGCCATTGAACGGATTCATAAACTGGATTCAGTTAGGAATCTTGCGGATGCATCCAAGGAATTTTTGTTCCAACAACCTTTGGATTCTGAGAATGCATTTAATGGACAATGTCAACATGCCATTGAGGCATATTCAGCGTACTTCGACGTTTATACGAAATCGTTGCTGCTTGTTTATTTCATGCAAAACTAATGTTGACTGAGAGATATCTAAGAACACTATCTCCTGGCTTAGGGAGACTATAACTTACACATATCGCGTTCAGGACCAGGACTCTGTTGATTTCAGATTCTCTCCCCAGAGCCTTGGCTTCATCTCTTGCAGCTTGGTCGTCGGTACTATTGGAACAAGTAGTGGCCAGCTGTCAATGGAAAGACCCAAATACTTTTATCCACTTCTACCTCAGAGACGTTGCTTCTTCTATTGAAGGTCTCCACTCACTGGGTCCTTTAGTGGAAGCAAAGCACCTCGCCTCCGCCTGATTGCCCCCTTTGGTGTGTGTGTGTGTGTGTGTGTTAATTAATCTTAAAGAAGGACAAGATTGGATCAGAGTGGAAGTCGGATACATGGAACTGTTGACCAGACTGCTCGGAGAGAGAGGGACCCAGGGAGGATAAACATTACACATGGCCGAAGAAATCACGGTGGGAACCTTATTATTTATTGGAATCTCCTAATCGAGCTCATTAAGGACAGAAGCTTCTAACGCTTTTAACTATTGGTTGTCAACATCAGAGTTGGATGTTATATTATCTTGTCATTTTAGTAGTATCTTAGTAAGTTCATCTATTAGTAATAACACTGCAACCGGAAATGATGTTATAGGACCGGAAATGATGTCAAAGAACTGGAAATGATGTCATAGAACCGGGAAGTGAAGTCACAGAACTGGAAGTGATGTCATAGAACCGGAGAGGGACGTCATTTGACCGGAAGTGACGTCATACGATTAAAACTAAGATAATTTAGATCTTAAGGTTGTCAACCATAGAAAGGAAGTTAGAAGGCTCACCAATTCCAAGGGAATACTCCCCTCACTACTACTGATCCAATCTACAGATACTTGTAGTTATCTCTCACTAAGTCAGTTATTCTTGGGGGGTTAATCCTCATCTTGAGTCTAGTGGTATAAAGGGGAATTATCTTCCAAGGGGAACCCTCCTTCCATACTTGGGATTCAGGCTACCATAATCCAGAGGGAATGTTAACGTTATAATTAGGAACAATTACATGTATTGTTAGTAATTGTTAGTAAACTTACCTCTAGATTATGGGATATATTACCCTCCCATTGTCCTTCCTGTGATTCTTCCCTTAGAAGATGTCACTGTATATTTATTTCAGACAATTTTTGAAGGGTGTTAGATCAACAATACAGTGACGTCGGGATCAAGGAAGGTAACTCGGGGGTTAGATAGGCATACCAATAGAAATAGCTATGACTTAGTGTTTTCATTTTCATTTTATTTTCTGTATATATCTGTGTAACCACAGGAATAAAGGCTACCATAATCCAGAGGTAAGTTTACTAACAATTACTAACAATACATGTAATGGGGAACATTCCTGGAGTTGCGTCCCCTTGCCCACTTGGAGCGCTGCGGTAGTTACGGTCCAACAGTAGCTGTCACTCTGATACTGGCCTGCCTATGGCCAAGCCTATACTTAAATCGACATTAAACCTACTTTTAACTCTGTGGTTCTTATATTACGAATTGCGGAATCTGTAAGTTGTCCCGACTGACGACTGTTGTCAAAGCACGAAGAACTAGCGTGTCTGGACGAAAAATAATGCTAATAGAACGGTACTGGAGATATTGTAATATTGCCGTTTCTCGGAATTTCTTATTGAGTAGTTGCTTTGTAAATTCGTCAAACCATTTACTCCCCATTATGTCACATTACACAGAGCATTAAAGCGGTCGTAATAGTTGTTAGAACATAGGATTAGCGTACACTGAAATTAGCGTTACACAAATAACGTTAGCGCTGACCTGATTACGCTCACAACATAAGTGCTTCAGTTTTCGTTCACGTAAACAACCTATTCTCATAGCCTATAACGCTTTGGGATGCACTGGAAAGAGGAAATGTTATGGCAACGGATCGTTTTCGAAAGGATTTGAAACATAAATCATTTTCATCGAATTAACGACTCGCTGACAGTGTGTTCAACAAAATATATTACACCCATTCACACGATAAATAAGCTCACAACTTCCGGTTTATAGTTTCTACATACATATTTAAGGACCGTTCATAATTAATGGGGTGAATGTTGGTGATGATTTTTATGGAGAAGCATGTACAATGTGAATGACCTCCCTAAAATTCATGTACAAAGTAAGTGACACCCCCTTTGCATATGTCATATTTAAAAACAATAATTTTAGCATAATCTTTTTATGTAAAAATTTGCTTACCCCCCTAGTACATGTGTACAAAATTGATGACCTCTACCTTTCCAGAACAAAATAGGTGATCCCCCTTAAATTCATCATGACTTCACATCCCAAAAATATATTTAGGCCATTATTCAATCCCCAAAATGTACAGTATATTGGCATATTGCTTGCACAATATATTTCTAAGTATCATTTGGGACCCCACCCCTATCTGTACCATTTTTAAAGGCTGTCTCTTCTCAACACAAATAACCAATATCTAAATGATAGATCACACAAGAATATCATTTGAAATTGTGTTTCAGGTGTTGTCAAATAATGTAACTAAGCATGAGTGAATTACTGAAATATTATAAACACATTGAACCATTACTGGAGGTCTGAACTATCTGATGTCAGAAGCAAGGGGGTATCGGGTACATTGTCTTTTAAGGTGGGAGCCTTTTAAATCTGAATACAAATATTTCACATTTGTTATTCCAGCATGTGTGAAGGGTTTGCAACTTACATCAAGGCTCATCACAATTATAATGGACTCACTGTGTCAGTGAACACAGTGTGTATTTGAAATACTGAAACAAGGAATAATTTAGCTTTGGAATGGTAGTCTAAATGGTACAATTGAGATTCTACAATACATTGTACTTATTATTCTCATGTGTCAATTATCATCAGACAAAAATCAACAAAGTCTGGGTTGTAATTTCAGTTTTTTATTGTTCAACGTATTATATTCTGCATGTATGGACATTCATAAATATAGACATACATACAGTAAAAAATGATGGTCTCCTTTGAAGAACCTTGATTAACACTTACATCAGATGCATGTTGATGTTTTCCACACTGACAATCATACTGTCAGTATTGCTGTACAGATAATTTAGGTGACATGCATATGCACCAAAAATGGAAGTACAACAGTGAAGTCTGAATATTTTGAGTCCTGTGTAAATGAAAATTGCTGCAGCACTAAGCATAATAGTTAGTACTGGAAGCACTGCATGTTTGTCTCTGTGTTGATATACAGTTACTTTCATATTTGGCCTGTGCCCAGTCTAGAGAGAAAATGTTTGGCTCAATAGTGTTGCCATCAAAATCATCATGGGTGATTATTTCCTCCCCAGCGACCTCACTGATGTTACATTCAACATCACAAGTATCCACCAGCATTAAGTGGGTCAGCTGATACAGTCCAGGGAAAGAATTGGTCATACAACATCTGTTTCTCTCTGTTGCCTCAGAGGTGTTCATCCTGGAAAACATCAGTGGAGTATTACTATCCAAACTGATACAGGGTAATATTATCTCATGACTGCCAGTTATGAGAAAATGTATCATTATCAGATTTAAGTTACTATTGTAGAGAAAGACATGTCACATAATGAACATATTCATTCCCATAGGTCAAAGGTGGAAAACAATATTCTTAACAAATGTTTCAACTATGGAGAAGCATAATTTAAATATGCTGACATTTCTTCCTTCTCTGAGTGGCATTTAGAAGTTGGTGTGATGAACAACAAGGAGAGTTCCATGGATATACAACTTCTTTAATATAATATGAGCGACATTGTGGTGTAGCTACTAACACCGTTATCAAGCAAGTAGCTCTCCTCGTTAATTTCTTTTCTGATACAAAGAAGTGTGTTCAACAAGTACACCAGACATTATTCAGACAAATTCATACCAAAAGTAAACAAACACTAACCTGTAGTATGTGTATTCTGTGACAACAGGCACCTGTAGGGAGATGTAATATGATGCATTAAAGGGAAAAAGTCAATTGTGTATTAGCATTCTTGGTAAACTTTAATTCAACAATGAAGGGAGCAAAGGTGTTATTGTCAAACATAAACAACTTTGCAAACATGTATATAATGATGCTAACTTGCTTTTTAAAAGCAAGAAGCAAATGAAAGTTAACCCATCTTAAAACATTGAAAGTAATAAATTGGGGTCTGTTCAAATTTACTTGCCTACTCTACCTACCTGTCATCAGGAGATATAAGCACATGTGAAAATATCATATACATTAGAATTTTAAGTAAATTACTCAATGTAACTCAGTGTCAAACTGACAACTGTATTTAAGATGCATGACCAGGTGTTGTATGAGAGAAGACAAGCAGGTAAAATCAACAGGCCATATCAAGTGATGAATGCTTTGCTAAGATATAATTGAAATATAACTTCTTTGAGTGGCAAAAAGTTCTAATTGAAATATAGTTGAAAATAAATTCAATAGATTAACCTGAAATTAGAATGCAATAGCTGTGTTCAAGTACGGTGGACAATTTTGAAACAATCTTAACAATGAATAAAGCCTAACTACTACAGAAACTGTTTTATCATGTTTATGGCTAATCTTCACGAGGGTGCCGATTTCAGACGATAACATCAGTGGCATTCTACAGATGGTGGCGCCTTGGGCTGCACCCTTTGTAAAGCGAAAAGATTGTGTACTGTAGGTTTTGATGATTACTACAGTGAGAGGCCCCTAATGTTTCGCGTAAAAAGTTTTGTACAGCAAGTGTACAGCAACACATTCTCTTTCCCTGAATCGATTCAAAACCCCTGCTCGTAATTTCGGATGGCATGCACATCAACTAAATTTGGCAAGGAGAATAACAATAACAACATTTTCTTCAAACTGTAAAAGATGCAAAATACGTGGTACTTACCATAATTAGTTACAGTATTGTAACGAAATCGCTCTGTAAGAAGTGGAAATGGCACACAACACTGAGAGCGAGAGCTGACGGCTACCTCGTCATGCTTTTGTTTCATTCGTCGCTACTTCGAATGATAGTCAACCACCACTTCAGCAAGTTTTGACCTCTCGGACACGTCGAACCTCTATTGCAGCATCCCGAGGCACGGCAGCACGTTTCAGGCATTGTAATATTGCTGCGCATTTGAAATCGACCGTGCAACAAACTTTGAACGCCATCATTATTCCGGAAGTATACTTAGGACCATAGTGATTGGCGCCATCTATTGGCGAAGCTGTAAAGGGAGATAAGTGAGGAATGTTCCCCATTGTTCCCATTGGTGCAATAAAGCAATCTGATAAACTTGGTGTCCAAATCTGATAACTATGCAAATTACGTCAATCCACGAACTAGTTGCAACAAAACTCCATACACGCCATGCGAATTATATCTGGCGCAGCAGAGGTCATGATATCATCCGGGAACTCACAAGAGAAAAACAATAACAAAAGCAACAACCAGTGCATGGAAATTGCTCTGGATCAGTGCCCCTTTAAACAACAACCAACCCAACTCATTAAAGGAGAATACGAATGAAAACAAAACTTTTGATATATTGTAAAGGATATTCTAAAAGTCACATTCCGTGATTAAAATTGAACAAAATGTTTGTAAAATAGCAATAAAAACACAAAAACGTACTCGTATTTCCGCCTATTACGGAAACACCCGACAGTTAATGAGCAGAGGGGGTATCACGTGACATGACGTCATAAGTGCCTGTTGCTGATGGCTTCCTCTTTGATTTTACCTCCCAACTAAACAGCGTCCGTGGATTCTGAAGCAGTAAAAGATGTTCCTGATGTCATTTCTGAAATGGATGTTAGACTGTATCAATACGATCCGATTTTACATCTTGCAAGACAATCTTCCAATGAAGATGAAGAAGAAGAATCAAGCGAAACAGAGGCACCGCTTGAGGTCAATCAATCAATCAATCAACACTTTATTTCGGTACAAAGGCCATCGGGCCCATATACATACAGTTTCATACATTATAATACAATTTGCATATATGTATATACACGCCCATCTGCATACATGTATAAAGGTAATCTGAACATACAATACAGGTTAATATGGATAAAGTAGATAAAGATATGGTATTTAATATTATCATTCTTGTAATAGCTTATATCTTCGTTCATAAGAATGCATTATATATAGGCTGAACATTTTCAAACTATGTACGTTATTTGTCATAAGTAGTTTCTTAAAGTTATGCATATTCGTTTTGAAATCACTTGGTAAATATTTACGACGTAAGGTCAAAATAAATTTAAAAATAGACCATATCGTTTAACAAGATTACTATTTGTCAGCAAAATGTCATACAGTTCCAGCCAGCAAACTCACCCCTATAAATATATGACCAGTTACTAAGAATTATTTTTAAAAAAATGTGATTTCAGTTCATTTTGTGTCAAATGGGTGACTGTAGGGTGTCTAGGATTTAAAAATAAAATAATTATGCTTCAGACGAGGGAAAATAAAAATTATCTGCTTCAAAAATTACACTGGAATTATTTTGTTGAAAAAAAGTAGGATCCTAGTTCTCATTAATAACGTATCA